ATTGAAGACCCTAATCTACTTTTAACCACACTAAAACTCGGGTCCTTCATGTGAGATCTCAATGTGGTCCTAACCTTTAGCACTATAGTGTGAGGCCATTCTACTACCCCATAGATAAGGTACAATATATCAGCCACGGAAGACTCCGATACTAAGATATGAATAACAACAACATATGAGTACTTTTAAATGACAACATCTAAACTACTGAAACCTTTGTCAAGAACCGATCATGAAATATTCTTCCTTTCTCCTTCAGTTTCAGTTCATCCAAAGTGCTGCATAAACAAAATAATGCAATATAACCAACCAATATAAAAGAAATAAGTAAGATAAATTTATAATACCAGAGAAAACAAAATTTGCTTAACCTTCCTGGTCAATGGTCTGACCAGAGTTTAAGCAAATAAAGTGCCATAAATTGCATCCAGTCTGTTAATTGCCCTAAAGATATGTGCTCTGTAAGTTAAAACTGTGGACCTGAGTTCTTGATTTATTTCATTCATCTTTCTGGTTGCGCTACGGAACTCCTTCTCAAGAAGTGGAACGATTAGTGGCACATTATCCATATACCTTGCAAAATTTGATTCCCAAACTTTTAGCCATGGAACTTAGCAAGTTGTCATTATTATTATCAGAATAGGAAGAACAGGATTATTACTAACCTTTTCTGTAGTAATTCTTCCAAAAACAACCTAAGTTTGCTTACACCTATTCGACTTCTTTCTTGTATTGACAGTGACCGGCCCATTTTCTCCTCCAAGCTTGCAACATCTTCCATCTCTCTTAATGATATTGCCTGCATAAAGAAAGTTCAAACCAGCCAGCTATGATTCCACATCAAAAGAAAAAAGGAACATAATTGTATACCGGCATACCCAATCTTATGCTTATTATCTAACGGAATACAAAGAATCTACCAGCAACAGCTGACAAAAAATTAGCATAGGAACTATAGACAAAGAAAGCATCAAGGGATAGCACAAAGAGGAATAAACTTAAAAAAAAATTCCGCACGCAGTACGTAATTTAAACGGTATCAGGATTGACGCAAATATCACAACCAAAGCTCCTAACCCTGAAAAGTTTCGGGCCAAAGTTCTGATGAGCAGGGTACATATTACAACTTTCATACTGCCAAATTATTGTTACTAGCAAAATTTCTTCCAGAAGAACAACCATTAGTCGGATCAGAAACAGGCCAGCATTTAGAGCCATAAAGTTGCAAATTCTGACTTCAAAAGTTGCTCCGAGGATCAGTGGATTAAAATATCACACTCAATGCAATATAGTTACTAAATAATAATGATCTACTTTAAAGCTTAAGCTTTATATCATTAAATGACAAAAACAACACTCTGCAGCGGAATATTGGCAACTATCAATTAAGGTCGCTGAATGAATACTACAACCATTCCTCGCTTTTTACTCTCCAAAAATGAATAGAGGGCGAGCACGAGTACCTTTTTGAAATCTTCATTAGATCTGTAAACCGAATCATGGCCAACGCCAACTCTTCCAGAGGGCACAGAAGTGAAAAAGGGAGAGTCTCCCAAGATACACCCATCGAGCATACAAGTGGGAGGTGAGAGAAATACTTCCACATCCGAGGCACGAGCAAACTGGGGTATTTTGGTATCAAGTTTGGTTGAGACAATCACAGTCCTTGAGAGCTCGGGATCAATCTGCAGACGATAAGCAAGGTAAAGCTTGATCGAAAAGAATAAATTAACACAACACAATGCATAAACAGAACAAAAGAAGCAACACCTGCATTACAACCCTTCTTGTAGTAGCATTACTCCAGTCACTGCAATCTTCAAGACACAAAATTATGAACTCTTTATGCTGCATTTTCGCACGAACTAGAGCTTCGACCGCACGAGCGTGGCCCTGTAATCATCATAAATTACAGATTTACAACGCAACATCTATCGAAATTCTGAACGAAACCAATGAAAGCATCATGTTTCCTACTCGAAATTCAAACATTATGCACAATGGAAAACCTGTAAAGCTCGATTCTTTGGACCAGGAGCCGGAGCGATTAATCCAGGAGTGTCGATAATGGTAAGATTAGGGCAATACTTGTATTCGACTCGAATGATGATCTCCTCAGCGGAGAAAAGACAAGGCTCCTTCTCCAACCTCATGTTCTCAGCTTCAATGTAGGCTTGAATTTCTTGGAGCGAGAGAGACTTTTCGTAATCGGAACTGGCATCGGAGGGGAGGAGGAGGCGGCAGACGGGGGAGTGGGCTTGGGGGTCGTACTTCATGTGGAGGGTAATTGGGCGGCGGGTCTTGGTGCCGCCGCCTACGTGGTTGAACTGGAACCCCATAAGTGCTTCCACCAAGGCGCTCTTGCCGTCGGTCTGGTGGCCCACCACAAGCACCGCTGGCGCGTCGAATGGAGTGTCGAAGGCCTGCGCGAGGCCGTGGAGTTCGTTGTAGGCCTCGTACAGACGGCACTGCTCCTCCTCCTCCTCCTCCGCCCATTTCTTTTCATTTTCCGCCTCCTCACTCGACATTGCTGCGCCGCTTCTTCTGATACTGGTAGAGTGAAGTGGAGCGTAGGCCAGTTGATACAGTACCGTTATTCAGATAGAAACTCGGAGCAGGACGTTTCACATTTCAAACTTTATCTTCTTCCTTTTTTTTTCCAAACGATTTGTTTGTTTCTTGAAAAAAACGAGTGATCGTACTTTATTAGGTACTAGTTTTTAAATATTATATTCAGCCATTTTAATATGAACACTCCCTTGCTGGTGAAAGAATTGCAGCCGTTGCTGTTGAAACTCAATTATATATGAACATGGTATTCAAATAATTGAAATTAAAATTACAAATTGGACACGTGTTCTTCTTTAATAAAAGTTTCAGCAGCAATTGTTGCTTTTCTTTCGCCATCGGTTGATTTTCTTTCAACAACGAAATAGTGTTCTTTTAAGATTGATTTGGAGTTGTGGTTGTTTTATAAAAAACAGCTCATTAAAAAATATGGGATAATAAATATGTTGGTAAAAAGAAAAAACAGCTCATTAAAAAATATGGGATAATAAATATGTTGGTTAAACAAAAAATAAAAATAAACCACTTCTATTGTAGGATGACATATTCCACTAGATTGAATAAATAATTAAGCTCTTCTAAACAAGAAATTAGGATAGGATAAAAGTTCAATCCCCGCTACGATTGTTCTAGAGCAAAATGGACACTGAAAATTGAAAAAAAAAAAAAAAAAAAAGATATATAGGATGCAAGTCACAAGATAATTGGAAACAACTTTTCTAGTTTTCCAAGAAAATTGGACTAAAGGGCCCAAAAAAAGGAACCGGATCCCCTTCTGAGCTTAGGAGGCTGAATCTTCTGAACAAATCATACGGCCGTTGAAATTTAATCAAACAGCTGCAATTATTATAATTTTTAGAGGATTCCCTTATTTGTAGTCGTTAGATCAAATTTCAACGATCCAGATCATTTGCATTGAAGGCTAAGCTCAGGAAGGGATCCGATTTCTTAAAAAAGATCAAAACTACGTGCTATTCAAAATTTAAAGAATAAAAAGAACATGTGTTCTAAAATTCAACAAATGCGAGTCCTCAAAGCAAAGTACTTAGGCTAATCCATGCAAGTTCGTGTCAGGGAAGGGACATGCCCCATCCTAGCAAAGTGTCAAGGCTAATCCTCTTTTGCAAATTCCTTCCCTTCGACAGAAGCTGGTGGATCTACAAGAGCATTAGACACTGGATTATCACTACGACTGGATTCCTCTTTCCCGCTCCATTTCCAAGTTTGAGATTTCGTTTAACAGATCCTTTGTGACAGGGAAATCCGTGTTCTTGATCTCTTCCAATAGACATCCCAGGCCCCCTATATGGTCTCTCTGTGCGTAGCCTGGAAGATATCCAAGGTTATATACTTTCGGATACTCCTCAACCACCTTTCGATGGCTAGCATGAAGAGATGTCAGCTCTGATTCATGCATGTCTGTGAGCTGTTGGAGGCCCGTTGTGTTCTCCTTCTGACCAATCTCTTGAGGAAGGTAATCGCAATCCCTAAAAGGGTACAATATTTATTTATAGATATCCTCTATGATTCTTCTGGTTTAGAACAAATATTTTATTCTAGATATCCTCTTGAGTCTAAAACCGCTTACTAACTTGACCGGATAGCCTTTGGCCGGCAAAATCCCCCTCCCCAATTTTAGGCTTGCTTCCACTTTGTTCTTTGTTTGGTAGGTTACTTGAATCTGAGCATCACTGCCGTCCGCGAAAGTGCGCATATTTGGATTCATCACAAAAACTTAAAATATTTGACAACTTAATGAAGCAAAACAAGAAAATGAGTTTTCTCATGGTTCATAAATTTTAAGTTGGTTTTGCTTTATTAAGTTGTCAAATATTTTAAGCCTTTGAATATAAACTAATATAATCATATGGCTAATATGCATTTGAACCTCTGAGGTCATCAAAATGAGGAACTTAGGCCATCTCCATCCGAATGAGGTCAGAGGGCTCTTTTTAGCCCTATAGCCCTCCAAAAAATTAATATTTTAATGACAAAAAACCACCTCCAACTGAGGAGGTCATATGCTAAACATAATTTATTATTTTAATTGAATTAATATGATTACTTAAATTAAACTACCTCAATAGTTTTTTGAGATATAATCTCAATAATTTTTCGGATATGATTTCGAGTGACACATATCGCTAAAGTGAGTAACTCTCTAGATTTCTTGCCGAGATGTAATCTCAATAATTTTTCGGATATGATTTTGAGTGACACGTGTTGCCAAAATGAGTAACTCTCCAGATTTCTTGTCGATATGTAATCTCAATAATTTTTCGGATAGGATTTTGAGTGCCACGTGTCGAGATGTAATTGGTTGTACAAATTTTAGATATGATTCTTATCTGCGTGACACTCCTTATCTTCAGCTTCCAATGTCCATAAATAGGCTAGATATTAGGGTATAATTCACACACTTTCATCTTTGCCCTCTCCAATATCTTTTTCAATTCAAGTTTTCAATGAATTCCAACTTTGGATTCTCTTTGCATTCCAACTGTGGGTCGATCCAATTCCAAATTGGAAGATAAATGGGTGCAGATGAGACAAGAAGATGAGGAGTCCGATGAAGAAGATGAAGCATGATACAACCCAACATATCAAAGTTCTTTCTGCTGACAGGCATCCAATGAAAGTGCAAAGCACCCTGGAAAAGAGGTAATCAGTGCCCAACAAGCTGAAGATTTAAAACTGAAAGAAAGAGGAAGCGGGAGCGTGAGGTGACTGTAATCCTGCATTTTCCTTTTCAATTTTTTATTATAATTCATTTGGGTCGAGTGTGTGACATGACAAGTGTTTGGAGCAGAAAAATTTGCCTCGAAAGAAGCGACAAAAATTGGAAGCAGCAAGCGAAATGTCAGAGGAGGAAAATCAAAATGAAAAGTTTGATGTACGTCGCTCCCTCTAACTCTGTATATACATACATATAATATTAGAAGTTTTAACGAAAAATCTACAGTACTATTTATTTTAACGAAAAATTATATTTTTACATTAAAAAGTCAATTTTGATATTATTTATTTTACCCTTTATTTTGTCTTTATCATTAAAACTCAAAGTTTTCAAACCCTTTTCATTAATTTTCCTTATAATATTTTTGTACCTTGTGGACGAGGAACTTAATTTTGAGTCGTATGTGGGGGCAGTCTTGTAGAGGTTTAGTGCAAGATGATTATTGGTTTTTGTATTACCCTTTGGTAGTTGACATTCACTTCATCAGTATGTTTCCCAAGTTTCTGTATATGGGGTCTTCTATAGTTCAGAGATTTTTTTTTTCTCATATAATGTAGGATATGTTAACAACTGTAAAATAATTTTGGTTGAGGTTATGTTATTTGTAAATAGATCTACTTGAGAGGTCTTAGCTAGTTTTGCTAGATGATAGATTTCTTATCCACTATGTTGTAATTCATGTTATATTTTAATAAAGTGTTATCGTTCTTCTCAAAAAAAAAAAAAAAAACTTAAAAGTGTTTATGTAATCTTGTAGCTCAAAATTCTCAAAAGACAAAAAGAGACAAAAAGCTTTGATGAACATATCCACACACACATACACACAGATATATATACAAAAAAAGTAGTGGAGTCGGAAATAAGAAGTCCAAGAATTCTTTTAAGAGCAAGTCGAGGTATGAAGCACCTTATCTTGTGATTAATCCTCCTTTCGATTTTGATTTGTATCTTACAGTCTTACTAAGCATTTTTGTGCTGTACATAGACTTTATGTTATAGATTCAGTCAAATTTTTGAATGGGCACATATCAGCTAACAACAAGTCCTTGAGAAATATACCTATGATTTACTCACCTGAAAGCTTTAAAATGAACAAACTTGTAGACTGTTTTTATAAGATGCTTCAGTGCAAAGGTAGCTTTGTTGGATGTGAGAACATCAGCACAGGTGATGAGACCTAATCTACACCCTTGTACCACCCCTATACGCGCAAATTTCCTTTTAACTGCTGACCTCGAGCTTTTGAGTGGATCTTTTTGGCTGAAATTCTGTTGACGATTGTGGTATTATTCCATAAGCTCTCCTGCTAGAGTTTGTTTTTGGCACAATAAGTTTAAATTGGGAGAATAGCGACTACTTGATTTCTTCTCTATCTCGGTCCTTTACAATGTCTTGTTTCGTTAAAGGCCAGGTTTATCGGTTTGACATTGAAGTGCGTAGAGAACTGTACCTTTTTGTTGTTTAAGCAGCTCAAGTATTTGTATTTCTGCTCTCCTTGAGTAAAGGGAGCTTCCATCTTAGTAATAGCTCAAATGGTATCTCTCTCTGCTTGTTGAGGTTTCTCCTTTGCTGCTTGTATTACCTCAATGCACGAATGATCGAAATTTCGTAATGTATCTTCTCTGTTTTGATTTCTAAACCAGGTACAAGAGGAGATAGCTTCATCAAGCTGGGAATCAAAATTCCCCATAATGTGTTGGACATGCAGTGAAAGGGTTCTCTAGCATTTTATGCGGTGGCCACAGGTGTAACTAAGAAGCTCGTTATACTGCGGACTGGTTTACGTAATATGGAAATGTGTGGGCCATTTCAAGTAAATGGCTTCAAATTTGTCCTGATTTGACATTGCCCTTTTTCTCCAGGTTTTTCAAACATTGCCCGCATTAAGGACCAGCGAGACTTTCTAGAGAAAATTACTTCCGGTAATGCTTACTGCTAGTCATATTTTACTTTTGTTGTGAGTGAACTTTTAATTTTCATTCAGTTCTTGACCTTTATTGTTTTTAATATGTTTGAGTAGATGGTTTGACATCAGTCTTCTTTTTCGGTCGCTTACCCATCCACGCTTGTAATTTGTAATATTTTTACAATGCATCAATCATGTAACAAACTGCTACTCCCAACTTACTCTTTCTGTTTCATCTTACTGAGGCAATATCTTTGCCCCAACCGTTTCGGAGTTGAGATGGAAGTTCCCACATGTAACCATATATGAGACAATACTTGATAAGGTGTGACATTCAAATATGCTACTAAATCATCAGATATCTGGTTTACTTGAAATAGTAATTTATTAAAATAAAAAAAAGATTTGAAAATCATTTGTATAGTTCTATTATGTTTTATGTCTTTAGTGATGGTGTTGTTGGGACCTCCATGTTTTGATTATGCCCAGTCAGGCTTGCATTTTTCATATTTTGGGCTTAGAGCCTCCACTTAATCAAAAAAGAAAAAAAGAAAAGAAAGTAAGTTTACTAGGCCACTAGCAAAGGGGAAGCGAAAAGTGCAGTCGCACAGAGCTCCAAATTTGAAAGAGCTCCCAAAATTTGTCACCTAATATTTATATGTAATAGCCACTTAGTACTATGGTCTGGTGGTATTCCTCTTCACTTATAAGTGACATGTCTTAGGTTCGAATCTCATTGATGGTTAATTCGATACTAAATTTGATTGCCCATTATGTAGTTTAACCAAACTCACCCTCCCCTTAGTATAAATATATCGTTGTACTAAAAAAAAATTATATATATATTTATATGAAATAATGTTCTATATTTAAAAATTGCTTTTATTAGCACTTTAAAATCTCCAAGTGCACTCTTTATAATCTTTAATTTTTTTCCCTTTCTAAATATAAAAATTTGGAGTACAATGAGATACTTTTAATGGCAATAATAACACCTTAAAAAATGGTTTTTTTTTCCAATTTTATTATATAATAATGTTATATAATCGAGTGAAACTTTAAAGTTACAGTTTTTGAAGTTTTTTTTCTTGTTTAATATTGAATTGCTTTTGATTATTTAGTGAATTTTATGTCTGTAGCTCTTTTTAATTATTATTAGTGACATTGTTTAAACTTTATTTTGATTTAAGTGATTACTTTCTAGTGTCAATACATTGTCCTACCCTTTTTAAAAAAAACCTATCTTAATAGGGGTCCTTTTATTAATTTCACATAGAGCACCTAAAATCTCAGGACGACCCTGACCACTAGCTACTAAACCAAGCATTGAGTTATATTTCACCTCTTTGCCTTTGGTCACAAAACTGCACTCTCTATGTAGGTGGTCCTGTCAAAATAAACCAAACCAGCTATCTCAACACCGTACCCAGCATTATGCTCACTGAAAACTTCAAAACTGGTATTTCTTGGAAAGGTAATGGCCATGGATGACAAATTTTGGAAACATCTTGGTATTGTTCCCGAGAGATTGTTATACCCAAGGTCCAAGATTTGGAGATTCATGAGACTACAGAGTTTATCAGGAATGGCGCCATGGAACTAATTTGAATGAAGACTAAGAACTACTAAGCTTTGGCCAAACCATATTGGAATGCTTCCAACAAACTTGTTTCCACCAAGGTCAAGAAGTAACAACTGCTCACAGTTTTGCAAGGAGACAAGTAATTCTCCAGATAGGTTATTATTGCGCAAGTGCAATGATCGAAGGGAAAGTAAGTCTCCAATAGAGCTTGGAATTTTTCCCGTCAAATTGTTGTCTTCTAAATTCAAAGATGTCAAGTTTTGCCAGTGTAACCAACAATCAGGAATTTCTCCAGTGAGGAGATTGTTGTCAACATAAAGAACTTGAAGGTTTTTAGGTACATCACTCCTATCACAAAAGAAGTGAGAGAGAGTTTCCGAAAATGATGAATTGGAAAGATCTAGTGCAAACACTACCGAAGACATAAAAGGCAATGAACCATTGAACTGGTTAGACCTTAACTGAATAGCGATTTTTTAAAACAAAGAATTGGAATGCTTTTGTTTCGGCCACTTGGCAGAAACTATGGTTGGAACCTCGCCAGACAACTGATTACATGAGAGATCCACAAAGGTCACTACACTAAGTGAAAAAATGTTCCAAAACCAAGTCGGAATGGTAAGCTGAAATTCCTATATTGGACATGTTAAGAGAAATCAAATGTTTTTGACACTTAAGCCATGCAGGCAACTTTGATGGGTCCAGACGCCAAGAACTTAAAGTCAACATAGAAAGTTGAAAAGGAGGAACCCAGTTTGGGCTGGTTTTAAGAGTCAAGGAGTAGTTATTTGCAGCAAAGTTAATCAATCTTGTAAGATTAGTAAAATGGACTTCAGAGACAACACTCTCCAATAGAGTGCTAAAAATGTACAACTCCTCTAAGTGTAATAGATTGCCCAAGAACACTGGAATGGGACCTGATATTAAATTAAATGAAAGATCAAGTAGCGTAAATTTTTAAAACTTCCTAGCTTATCAGATAAATGACCTGAAAAAAATTATCTGAAAGATCTAAAAGATTTATTTGACTAGAAAAACACCGAGACAAACTTTCAAAGATTTTTGATACCCTCCTCGTAAAATTGTTCCACCATAGATCAACAAAAGTCAACTTACAAAGAGTTCCAAATGAGTTTGGGATTTCCCCTTCAAGCTGATTCCAACCTAATTTAAGATCAACAAGGGCTGTCAAGTTTCCAAGGTAACTGGAAATTTCACCATGGAAAGCATTACCAGAAAGATCAAGGGACTCAAGATGGCTCAAACTGTACAACCAGGTAGGTATGGTAGAGTTGAAATAGTTCAAGTACAGATCAAGAACTTTAAGACCTGTCAAGTTCGCAACACCACTTGGTATGTGATAAAGTTTGCATCCATCCAAACGTAACTCGACAAGTAGAGAAGGGAGTGTGTTTGCTTGTTAAATTTTCTTAGCTTGTGATTGAGGTGAAAGTGCTTAAGCATGAGAAATTTTTCAATGTACAAGAAATCTAGTTGAAAATTTGCTTTTTCAAGTTTCTAACCAATTGGCCACTCAATACTACAGTTTTGTGTTATTCTTCTTCACTTGGAAGTGAGAGGTCTTAAGTTCGAATCTTGTGGATGGCGAATTTGATACTAAATTAGGTTGCATATTATGTGGCTTAGCCGAACTTCTCCTTCCCTTAGTGTAAAAATATCGATGGACTTAAAAGTAACTAATTGTATTATTACACTTAATTTACTATGTCATATTTTCAACACACAAAAAAAATTAGTTTTTAGCAGGAGTGATTTTTCCTCAACACTCTCAAATGATGATAATGTTAACAATACTATTTATTATTATAAATGAGTTTAAATTTGAGATTTGTGTTTATCTATGGATTAATTACATTAACACCCTCCAAGGTTTATTGATTTTCATAAAACCTCCTCACGTTTAAGACAATACACTAACATCCCCTCACGTTTTAATTCAAGTCACATAACCCCTTCAATCAAAATTTTGTTAACAAATTGAAAACTTTACCCTTGTACCTAATTAATTAAATAATAAAGAAATATATTAGAAAAAAAATTTTAAAAATAAGTAAATTAAACATTAAATAATTTAAAAACTTTAAAGTAAATAAATCAATGTAAAACTTTATCAAGGTACTGTAAGTACAAACGTCAGGTTGGCATTGCGGGAAGGTCTTCATCAGGTTAAGAACAGAAAATGCCTCGTCAATTAGATTGTTCCTACAATAAGCCACGAGCAAGGCTGTGTAAATTTCAAGAGTTGGTTCACAACCATTTTCAACCATTGTATCTAAAAGCTGGCAGCATGGTAATTCGCTGAAGCCGATGTATTCGAGATGCTTAGGTACCTTTCTTCCAGTGCCTCTTTTTGGTGTTAGAAGAGGAGATGAAGTTGAGCGATGACTGTGCTGAGGAGCAACTTAAAGTTAGGGTACTGGGGTTTCTTGGAGGCGGCGACAGTGGAGTTTTTGTTGAAAAGGAAGAGGATGCGGGAGGAGAGATGAAGAGAATGAGAGAGATTGAAAAAGTCATGGATGGCTTTGGCCTGCAAAATTGTTCAAGCATGGGTTGGTTATTGAGTAGTGAGGGTTGGGTAGGGGAGAGGAAAGGGATGAAGGTGACGATGGTGGGATGGCGGGGAAAAAAGGGCAAGGCGTGGAATTGGGGACTTCGATTATTGAATAATCCACATCACTGCTGCTTCCAAATCGCAAATTTAGCCGATACAAAGATATATGATAATACCCAATTTTTTCAATTCAGCAGTTCGATCTATGCTATGATTTATCATTCATGGACATTGATAAGATCCTTCCATTTAGCAGCACCTTAGAGGATGGCATAGCCTTAAATAAGGTTAAGGGCGAGGTTCAAACAAGGAAAAGCTTACGTGGCATAGGAGTTACACCTCGTATGAAACTTAATAGTATATCACTTCTACGAATAGCTTTTAATGCCACATCACTTCTGAGACCCGGGCCTTAACTGTGGCAACTAAACATAAGGGTTGCGCTAGTTGCGGGACTTAACCCAACACCTTACGACATGAGCTAACGACAGCCATGCACCACCTGTGTTCGCTTTCCCGAAGGCATCCTTCTCTTTTAGGAGATTCGTGGCATGTCAAGCCTGGTAAGGTTCTTCACTTTGCATCGAATTAAACTACATGCTCCAACGCTTGTGCGGGCCCCATTAGTAAACCAAAAAATAGGGATGGGTTTGAAAAACCAAAAAGTGAAGAAAAAAAATAGGACCGAAAATCGAATCGAGACCGGAAAAAACTGAACCAAACTAAATCTGGTTGGTTCAGTTTTGGTTTTTGAGGTCCGAAAATCAAATCGAACCAATATATATATATATATATATATATAAATACTCAAAACCTGGTGGCGTGAGGATTTAAACCCCTTCCCTCTAGGTTGGTGATAATTACTTCAAGCCAACTTGATTGTAGGTTTGTGTTGCTATAATTGTACCAGTAAGTTATTTATAGGTATTCTAATCTTTAATGCTTAATAAAATTTCTAAAGTTTACAAACCCTAGCCATCACTCCCATTTTAGTTTTCACCTCTTAGTTTTCTCAAACACCCTTTCTCTCTCCCCTCTGTTTTCTTCCTCTCTGCTTCCTCATTCTCTCTCTCTCTCTCCTTCCACTCTTCCTTCAAATGACTCTCTATCTAGTCTTCTCATGTCCTCCTCGTGGATTCCTTCTTCCAAACCATGATTTTCCCTCGTCCCTTTCAAATCGAAACCCCCTCCAAATTGGAAGATTCTAATATGGATTTTCCAATCTCTGATAGTTAATTTTCGAATCAAAACGAATATGATTTATATTGTGATTTTGCTGAATTAAAATGGGTTTTTCTTTTAATTATTTTGTTGGGGTTTTACATATTAAAATCTTCCAATTTGGTAGCAAGAAGAGGAAGCTGCACCAAGTCGCGACTAGTGAATGAGCAGATGCATAGGTGTTGCCATAGTTGACAAAAGGTTTGGGTATGAGTGGGAAGGTTTGGTTTCGATGGAGAAGAGAAATTTAGGTTGGATTTGAGATCTATGTCATGGTTGGGGATGAGAGAGGGACAGATGAGCGTAGAATGTAAGGGAGATTAGTTGTTTGGTTACAGGTTTAGAGGTATTCTCCTTACTAAGTGAATTGGCAAAAGGTTAGGAAAAAAAAAAAAAAAACCGAAACCAAACTGAAACTGAACCGAAAAAAAACTGAACCGAAAAAAACCAAAAAAATGAACCAAACTGAATCGAAATTTCTTTCGGTTTTGATTTTGGCAAAAAACCGAACCGTTTTGAATCCAACCCAACCCTTATTGGGGAGGGTTTAGGGTTTTTCTCTTTTTTCCTTTTTCATTTTTTAATGTTTATTTTTTTTCTTAATATACTTTTTTATTATTTAACTAATTAATTATAAAGGAAAATTAATAAAAAGAGCTTGAAAAATTTTACTTTTAATAAAAAATCATGTTATAAGTTTTGTTTAATGATTAGTACAAGACCCATATTAAAGCAATCCAACTAAAAATGGCCTAACTATAATAAATTATGATTTGTCGATTTTACCCCTAACTTTTTTAGGTTGAGTTCTAGATTTTCATCGTTAATGGAGTTCATCGTTGTTTTGCAACCTTTTTTTTTTTTTTTTGAAACAAAAATATAGATCCTCATGCTATTTAATTTATATTTTGTATTATTTCGTTGAAATGTGATCGTCGGTATTATTCATAGTGGATTTGAGGTAATATTTTTCAATTTTTCTTAGTCAGTGGAGTTTATCGTTTGTTTCTCCAGAAAATAAATTTGAGATCTGCATGTTATTCAATAACAACGACGGGTCACTGTTTCTGAACTGTAAAAATAAACTGTTTTTGGATTTGAAGTAACATTGTTTCTGGAATCTAAGCCACTGTTTCCAGAGACAGTGTTAATTTTTCCAGAGACAGTGTTTTTCTGAGACAATGTTAGTTTTTCCAAAGACAGTGCTAGTTTTTCCAGAGACAATGTTGGTTTTTCCAGAGACAGTGTTAATTTTTCCAGAGACTGTGTTAGTTTTTGCAGAGACATTGTTATTTTTTAGTTTTTGCAGAGACATTGTTATTTTTTTTTAGAGACACTGTTAATTTTTCCAGAAACAGTTACGAATTCAAAACATAACGGATCGCATTGTTTTCTAAAAAAGTGGTAAAAAAATCATACTATTTCCTAGAAATGTTTAACATTAACAGTGTTATGAAAGTAGAACATCACGATTGAAGTCACTTTTCTCTCTCTTTCTCGTCTACTTGTGGAGAAAAGGTAATTCATATGATTGAAGTAATTCACACTCACAGATGATGAAGGAATACAAATATATATCCACATCCAACTGTCTGAAAAACTCATCCAAGTACCCCTCCTATATATAACCTGGAAATTCAGTATTGCCCACCAGGCTCGAATCTATCTATGAACTTGTAATACAAATTATACGGACGTGATTGCCACGTTTTGGACCGTACATATCCCTCATATACAAAACCCAGAAACCAAAAATCGTGAAAAATAAATAAGAAAAAAGGTGTAATAATAGTAGTCCGTTAAACTGAATTGGCACCAATCCATGAAGCAGCTTTGATTTATGTACATGGGCAGCTCCTTTTGGCACGAGAGTTGATCATAAAGCTCGATCTGAACATATCTTCAACCTCTTCGCGGTTCGTGGTCCCGAAGAACTGCAGTTTCCTCTTGCATCGAATCATTTAGGGTATTTACGGAAGTATAGATTTGTAGCAGGTTGAGTTTGTAAGTTTGGTCCGTGGACAATAGTTTTGGATGATTTTTTATTAAACTTTAAGCCCTTTGGTTAAATAACATTTTGAGATGGTTTTTGGTTAAATATTTGTTGATCAAAGCCCTTTTCATTAAAGCTTCCTAATTATAAAGGTAAAATTGTCAATTTATTAGTATAATTTTGACTGAAAGGGTTTTGTAAAAGTGAATTAAAACGTGAGGCGTTGTTATTGTAATGTCTCAAATGTGCGAGATTTTGTGAAAACTCAATAAACCTTAGGAGGTGTTAGTGTAATTAACCCGCATATCTATTGTACAAATTTTAAAATTTAAACGCATCCACCAATGATAAATAAGTGAGTGTGCATTATCAACACCTAAAAGTAGTACGAGGTTTTATGTTCGATTTTGGTCAAAAGTGAATTTAAATCATATTATTGTTAACTTATTAGAAGACTTAATCTACTTTTCTACCTTTTAATGTAAATAATATCGTCTATTTAAAAAAAAAAAATAAAAGTATTGATGAAAAATATTCCACATAAGTAGTGGCAGTAGAGGATCTCTCCAAAATTTTAAGGTCCTTCGGAAAATTCCGAATGCTTGAACAATTAGATTTTAAATAAATATCCAACAGTTTAAATACCTAGAATGTAGAACATCCGAGAGTATTCCCGGAGAAAATCAAGAAGACCTGCATCGAGGTGGACTGATTGGGTACGATTGGACTGGACAAGACAGGCAATCCGAATAAGATTGGATTTCAATAGAAGACATGCAAGTTGGGAAGAGCGAAGAATCTCAAATCACAAATTATCTGAATTGAAATTAGAGGAATGCTACGAAGATTGTCAAATCAGATTCTAATTGCTTATAGTTTAATGTTAATTTTAATATTAATATTTGTAAAATATTATATAAGAAATATGCAGTGCTAGAGAGTTTCTGAAAATTTTCATTTTGAAAAAAGTATCTTCAATATTTCTCTTTCTAATACCTCACAGTTTAATATTAATTTTTTAATTAATATTATAAAATATTGTGTTAAAATATAAAATTACAAAGAATTCATGCAGACGTCTGCTCGTATCCAAGAGAAATGCTAATGAGAGTTCCAATTTCGTTTCGGGTATAGCAAAAGTGCACCAATTTATTTATTAATTAATTGTTTTATAAGAAAGGGATTTATTAGGTATAAAATAGAATAGAAAATAAAATTTATAAGATTCTTTCTTTTCCAAAAGAACTCCAAGCTCTGTGTTATTGTTGATTACTTTACTTCCTTCTTCCTTCCTTCACAGGGGATTCTGCTACATAGATTCATTGCATGGTATAGAATTACTCTATCCCTCCCTCTCTCACTACTCACTTTTTCGTTTCTGTATATATGTCTGTCTGTCTATATATCTACATATATGTATGTGTGTGTATATGTATATGTCTTTTAACTTTTCGGTTTCAAACGTTGAAGCAAAGGAAAAATTGGATTTATTTGAGCTTTTATAAGCAGTAATTATTATTTATTTGGTTTTGATGGTGTTTTTTTTGGGGGATTTTGTGTGTAGAGACTAGAGAATCTAGAGAGATAGAAGGGCAAGGATGAAGAGGCAGAAGAGAAAAGAAGAGAAAAAAATAAACAAGGAGGAGCAGGAGGAAGATGCAGAAGAGGATTGGTGCTTCGTCTGCAAAGATGGTGGAGACCTCATGTTATGCGACTACCCGTCAGTTCGTCGCCCTCCTTTCCCTTTATACTTTTACTGATTGAGCTTCAGTGTGTATATGTATGTGTATGTGCACGCGTTCTTGCTTATGCTACCAAACCCAAGTTTGAATTTTCCTCGTTTGAAAGTTGAAGCAGTTTCATTATATACTGTGTGTATTATTGTGTGTTGCGCGCGCATGCACGTGCGCTCATGTAGATGTGCGTTAGGCCACCCAAGTTCGAAGTGTCGTGGATTGAGAATTAGAGTAATTTAGAATATAGTATCACTATCAAGTAATCTGCCTTAATAGAAAGTGCAACATAGTCATAGATAGTCAATCATCCATCCACATCCCGCAACATTTCTTTTTCCTTGTTTTGTTTATTTAAACTTTCAACTTAACATACAACATTTCCTTTTAAGAAGATATTGAGAGAGGATCATCCAAACAACCCAAACCTCTTCATATGCCTGACAGGTCTGGCTTGATTTGCTCAACCCGGCTCACTGGCTCATCGGCAGGGTCCCAACCAGACCAGAGTACAGACTCAAGAAAATGCTATATACATTTATTATTTCTTTTCATTTATTTTCAGCATTATGAGCCATTATAATATATTAAATAAAAGAAAAGTTGTAACAAAATTAGGGTTTTAGGCCTACAATCTGCGAACTTCTCGTGACTCATGAAGGGGTGACAAACGGTAAATATTTGAGGACTGTAGGTTCGTGTATGAATCACCGGTAGGTGAAATATGTATTTTTATATGGAAATGTTCTCTTTCTGGTCACAAACTGTCAAATATGAATCACCAATAGGTGAAATAAAGTCTAAATATGCGGTTCTAATTATTTCGTGCCAGATATTTGGCAAACGATCATCACGTAGAGATAAATACTCTATTGCCATAGCATGTTATTGTTGTCACAATTTGAATTAAAAACTCATATTCAAACATGCTTTAACCTAATTGATCGTCTTGCTGATTATTTGACAACATGTCGAAATACAGAAAGAAGAGAGCATTTGCTTATGTGTGTGCGATTTTCGATCGTCTAGCATTTATTCAATATTTATTTCTCTACTTCTATATTATTAACAACCTGATTCATTTCAGGGGCTGCTTAAAAGTATATCATGCTCAATGCGTGGGTAAAAAGAAATCCTTCACTGTGGCTGGAAAACGCTGGATTTGTAGTAAGAAACTTTACATTTATCAATGATGATATATAAGTGTTTCAATTGAAATCAATTGCACTTGGAGTATGACACAATTGAAAGTTCCAAATTAACTCAGAAAATTCATGTGGCCCTTTCCCTCATAAGGTCTTTTTCTTTCAATAAAAAATCATGCTATTTCTCAAGACACTCTTTCTTTGTCTCTATCAGTATTGGGGTGCAGGGCGGGCTGTGGGTAAAAGACAGATTTTAATGTAACATAAATAGATAGAACAATAGGAATTCGATCGTGCCCTTAATTCTTTAGGACGCTCTTCATTAAGCAGAACCATTAAGCTTTTCTATCTAAGTGTTGAACCTCATAAAGGGCTTCAGCAACCAAACTTTTGTATTTCCTACCCAAATATGTAGAATTGAAGAGAAGCTTCTCAAAGGAGAGTAAATTTCACTGACCCCAACTTCAAATTAGCGTTCAGAGTTGAAATCTGAGGCCCTTTGTGTGGCCTTTAATTAAAATGCAATAGCATAATTAACAAGCCAAACGGCCACCATTTGGAGGACTCATTAGAGCTTGTCTTCCGAAGTCCCCTATATGAAGGCTACTGTATCCAAGAGATTCTTCTAGCGTCTTTTAATATGAATGCTGTTCATCTACTTCATAAGTGTACATATCCATAGTATTTATGGTCATGGTTGGTTGACATGGTACTATATCTTTGAAAGAGTTCTTAGCATTTAGAAAGGTATAAACACATTTTTTCATGTTTGAAAATTTCCCGTCACAGAAATGCACATGATTGATTAAGCACTTCCATAGAATGATTTGTATCTTTATATTTTGCAGTACTACTTTGGAGAATTTATGTCTTGGAAGTTTGAAAGACGATGCATTTTATGTTTTAGGGAAGCATTCTTGTGCATTATGCCGATGTACCCCAAAGTTTTACTGCTTTTGTTGTCCGAATTCAGTATGTCGACATTGCATAAGCAGTTCTAAGTTTACACACGTTAGAGGAAAGAAAGGGTTTTGCAAGGAATGTTTGGAGCTTATTCTACTGGCAGAGCAAAACTCAGAATATGGTTCCAATGGTGTAAGTTAATTAATCTTACTTTGTAAACTAGTTCACAAATCTCTTTTACTTGTTCTATTACATTTCCGTCCGCTATTAATTATTTTATTTGTAGGAAATTCTAGTAAGTAGTTCTATAATGTTGCATCTTTGTTTGGGTTATGTCAAGACTTGAGTAGAAGGTTATATCATTTTAGAAATTACATTATTGTCATTTACCACCAAGATAGATGCTTTCTTGAAAGTGTAGACAAGCCAATACTCTCCTTTCACTCTCTGGGAACACATCTGAAGAGAGAAAATATACAATGCTTTCAGATTGCACAAGAAAATGATAGAGACTTGATGTTTTGCGAAGGTTTACTTCCAGTATTGTAACTTGTAAAGCATGCACATCATGTATATTGCCTGACTTCATGCCATATAATTCGAGTTCTGATTAATAGCTTTCACTTTTCCTTTTTCTTGTTTTATTATTTACCAAGTATAAATCGTGTATCCTTAGTAGTTTCAGATAAGAACAGCTAAACTAAAAAGGGAAGAAACAGAGTAGTAATTGATTTTGTTCTTATCTGAAGCACGGATACCTGGCTTATACTTGGTAAATATCCAAATAAGGAAAAGGAAAAGGGAAAGCAGTATAGAGTTAATCACATTTTGGCTTGTATCTATTAATCAGAACTCGAATTATACAGCGTGGGAATGACAATAAATGTGATGTGCATGCGTTACAATACTGAAAGTAAACCTTCTTGGAACTACAAAATCCTGCCATTTTCTTGTGGAATCTGAAAGCCCTTTATATTTTCTTTCACCGGAGTTGTTCCCATAGAGTGAGAGGGGACTACAGGCATGTCTGCAATTCTCATTGGATTTTTTACCTCTTTATAAACCAAGGTACAATTTTCACCATATCCGAACTTCTATTTTCACATCAAAGGTATAAATTTCTCCAGATCTGAACTTTTCTTTCACTTCGTTAGAAATTTTTCTTCTGAGATTAGGATTGTTGACTGTTCTGTAGTTTATGCAAATAGGAGATCCTCGCTATTTGTTGTACTTGAACTTGATATAGGTTCTGTGTAAATTGATGACAGACATTGAGCTAAAAACTACAGAAAACATAAATTCATCTTCTTTATTTAAGTTTCAGTCTCTATCTTATATGTTCATCTATCGTATAGTTAATTATCTATGCTTCTGTTTTTGGTTGTATGATTTTTGAATTTCAGGAAAAAATAGACTTCAAGGATCGAGATACACTTGAATGCCTATTTAAAGAATATTGGGAAATCATAAAGGAAAAAGAAGGCTTGACTTCAGATGATGTCTATTCTGCAGATGTACTGTTAAAGAGGGAAGAAAATAAAACATACAGGTTTGATTTTGTAAAATCTGGCGAGGTTGAAGAAGCTATTGACCTGATATCTGATAGTGACACTTCTGACAAAGAATTTCTGAGACCGATGGGAAAAGGGAAGGCACAAGAGTTTATCGGATGGGCATCCAAACCTCTCATTGAGTTCCTGCGATCTATTGGTATAGATACAACCAACAAGTTATCGCAGTATGATGTGGACTCAATCATCTATGATTATATCAAAGAGAGAACCCTTTTTGACCCAATAAAAAAGAAAAAGGTCATATGTGATGAGAAGCTTTATTCTATTTTCGGAAAGAAGTCCGTAGATAGGATAAAAATATATGGTCTTTTGGAGGAACATATGGCCGAGAACTTGGTTATATCGGATGAAGATGACAGTGAGCTGGAAGACAAGAAGAAAGATACAATGATGGCAAGCAAGAAACAAAGAGTGAGCTCAGGTATAGCATCTATTGAAAAGGAAGTGAGTCCTAGTGTCCAGAAAAGTTTTTTTGCATCTATAGTTCCTGAGAATATCAAGCTTGTCTACTTAAGGAGGAGTTTAGTGGAGGAGTTCTTGAAGCAGCCTGAAAACTTTAAAAGCAAGCTACTAGGAACTTTTGTGAGAGTGAAAAATGATGCCAGGCTTCGTCTGACAAATTCTCACCAACTTTTACAAGTTGAAGGTAATTGTTGTTGGCAATATATTATGTGGTAGATTATTGTGTTAATAATGTCAGATTGGAAAAATGTTAGCCTTCTAGTCTGATTTTTTTTTATTCAATATAATATGTAACATGTTGATGTCTCAATGATTGGATATGCCCCTCCTCGTCATACAATGTAAAATTGATCCTCAAAAGTTATGGTGGTGCTATCTTGACAGGAATGCTCTTATTTTCTCCATTGGAAATTCCTTGATTTATTCAAGTTTTTAACTTTTATATCGTTGCAGGTATAAAGAAAGACTCAACAGCTGATGAAATGGACGGATGAAATTCTCCTCAAGTTTCCAATAGAGATATCCCGATTTGTAGGCTGGCAGATTCAGACTTCACTGAGGTAATTGCCCGGTATAAGAATTATTCAGTTTTCTTTATATGTAACATAATTCGCTCAGAAGGTTATGTAATTGGAGAGCTCTCTACTCCTATTAATCAAACCCTCAACCTTCCATCTTTCCTCAGAAGGTTAACTTAATTTCCCAGTACGACTTTGATACACAGACCATTTTTTATCAATCTGTTTTAGTTATATAGAGATGTAAGATTTCAAGTATAAATTTTTTGAACATTTGGTACTTGATATGAACTTCTTCTAATTCTTATTACAAATATCGCCTTGTTTTTAGTCTACATAAAACAAAACATTTTGACATGGTGAGTTATTGTGCAAACATCTGTATGTGTATTGCATCTTATTCTCTAACATGGACTCATTAGAAGTATAATAAATTGAACTAAACTTTCTCATGCAGTAGGTCAGGGAACTAAGAAATAAAACTTTTTGTCTTGTCCAACATTTAAGCTATAAATATCTTGTTATTTATGATTCTGGAAATGCACAGATCGGTTTGTTGCTTTGATAATAATATGTCCTACTTGCAGGACGAATTTAAGGAGTTGCGGGAAAATGTGGCAAATGGCCTGCTAAGGAAGCCTACAGTTGTAAGTTTGAGATTTCCTTCTTGAATCTTTCCGATAACGGTGAACAGTTTTTTTCTTTTTCAGTTTAATTATCTTCGTTCCGGTTTCTGGCAAAAGGTTTGTGCGGTTCACCATGAAGATCTTTATTCATATGGCCAACTATTAGAAAATCGAATGTCATGAAAAGTTCGTTTATTCCATCATAAATATCTTTTGTGAACAATGGTTTTTCAACCTCTAATCGTAATTTATTGTTTGACAGGCCGAGCTTGAACAGAAGGCAAGACTTCTGCATGAGGATATAACTAAGCATGTAAGTATTACTACTTTATGGCATTAATTTCGCATATATGTTGCCTATTTCCTCTATGCCCCCACTCTATAACAAAATGTGAAAACTTTTATCAGATAGATCGTTTCTCTGAATGGTACTAGTGAAATGCCATGGCGGCAAATTGCTTGCTTGTTATTTTTCTGATCTAAATTGACATATTGTTATCAGTGGATTGAGAGAGAGTTGGTCAGGTTACAGAACTGCATTGATCGAGCAAATGAGAAGGGACGAAGAAGAGAATATCCTTCCATGGTCTATATGCAACTATTCCCTAGTTAAACTTTCATAGCTTTGAATGCTTTAATCTGAGCTTGTTTTATTATAGGTGAAAGTCCTCCCATTGGTTTGCAGTTTTTGTATTTTATTTTCATGGCCAATTTTTCCCTCCACTCAAAGGGCATGTTTGCAAGCACCGCTTCCAGTCCAACGTTTTAACAAAGTACAACAGAAATTGTTTGTTGAAAGTCGTTTTTTATTGTAGTTTACAATTACATTGTCCTGTCCCAATTTTTGACCATGAATGGCATCTAGTCAAGAGCAGTGGTTGAACGAGATGCCAAATTTTCCAGTATTTTGATAATATTTACGTGGAAATATCAGGTTTTGGTTCTTCATGCATCACTTTTACTACATGCACACACGAACACAAACACACACAAGTGCTTGAGCATCTGTCAACCTACATTTGTGTTATGCTACTTTGTCACATTGAATGACAGAGGACCTTAACCAGCTTTTTGTTCAACGCTGTGGGAATTTATGGAGAAGAGAGAGATGCTAAAGCAACCCTCTGTTCAGATTGGTCTACTAAAGGAGGTGCCGAAGGTCACTGCAGAGGTTTTAGAGGCTGAATCTGGTTCTGAGGATACTGTAAAAGCTGATAATCTATAACGTGTTTCCTCACTAGGCTCGATCAGCATATTGAAATGACTGCTGTGTTGAAAGGGCTGTAATGTGGCGTTGTTTGTTTTCTAGTCTATGTCGTTCTGTCTTCTTAAGCTTAAAATAAAACTGCGTTCATTGCAGTTTAAGACATGGCCAACAAATACACCATCGGTACTGTGTTGATGTTGGTATTTTGTGTTATCATTTCGGTTGAGTTCATGGTCGGTGTTTCCATCATTTTGTGTGAGACATAGAAGAATGAAAATTGGTAAAGTGAACGGCCTACTTCAGAGATTTCTCATATGACTCACTTTATGTAAGCTTGAAAAATTAACATTAGCTTAAAGTTTTACCCCAGCTAATTTTATTCTCATCTCCTGACTACCGCCTAGCGAATTTTAAAATATTGCCAACATCTAAGAGTTTTTGAGTTTATTTGCTACATTCAGTTCTAACTCAGCTTACACATAAGCTAGAAGAAACTAGCATCAAGTCTATACTAGTGGAGCATGGAAATTGTGAAAAGGGACAAGCTTTTCACTTGAAGAAGCTAAAAATGAGACACAAGTGAGAACTGAAACTACGACACCAGTTCAGTAATGTAGAATATCTGGAATTATCACCATAAACAACTCCAATGAAAATGAGAAGGCTCGGTAACATATGCATCTTGTAATTACCGTATAGTTGAGCATTAGAGCTTTGAGGAGGCTGAAAAGGATCAAGCACGGTTGAAGGCAATAATGAAGGATGAAAGTGCCATGCCATAGAAGAATTCTACTCGGGAGCAGGTTTACGGACTAAGAAAAGCCTGTAATTAGTGTGAAATGGGTTTATAAGACCAAACTCAACTTGGATGGATCAATATAGAAAATCAAGGCCTAGCTGGTTGCTAAAGATTACTCGCTGCAGCTTGAAGTGGATTTCAATGAAACCTTTCCCCCTGCGGCAAGGTTGGACATTATGAGGACTTGATTGCATTGGTGGAAACAAAGATCTAAAAACTTTATCAATTGGATGTAAAGTCAACATTCCAAAGTGGTGTATTAGAAGAAGTACATGTTGATCAACCACAAGGCTTTGTTGCTGTAGATGAGGAAGACAAGGTCTTTAAGTTAAAGAAGACATTGTGTGGGCTAAAACAAGCACTAGGGGCCGGGTACAATGAGATTGATTCCTATTTTAACAAGAGGTTTCAAGAAAAGATCAAGTGAAGCTACTGTATAATTATCAAAAAGACGGGCCAAAGGCTCACTTCCAATAACACTTATATTGTTCATAATTTGGTAATTATCAAGTGCACAATCCGTCAAGTGTGGGGTTTTATCACAAAAGGCCTTGGTATTAGTTGAAGTGGGGTTATGATATTGTAACTCTTATTTCTTTCTTTCTCTAGAAGATGTGGGATTTCAACATGTCCCTTCACGTGGGACCCAATTAGTGGGTCGCATGTGGGAGATCCACACATCGGCAATCATGTGGAGCCAAGAGGACTCACCCTACACGTGAGGCCAAGGGACCCACCATCATTGCCCGAAGCCAAGGGGACACACCCATCACGTGACAATACGTATGGGCCTTCTCTTTAGCTCTAATACCATGTAGAATTATCAGAGAGACGGGTCAAAGGACCACTTCCAACAACACCGATATTGTCCCCAACTTGGTAATTACCAAGTGCACAATCCGTTAGGTGTGGGGTTTTATCACAAAAGGTCTTTGTATTAGTTAGAATGGGTTAAGGATATTTAAACTCTTCTTTCTTTCTTTCTCTAGCCGATGTGCGATTTCAGCAACTGCACTTTACACAAAGACATGAAGTGACTTGAGCATTCTCATTGTGTCTATCTATGTTGATGATTTGGTGTTTACAAGAAACAGTGACCAAATGAACACTGAATTCACATCATCTATAAATTTTGTGGGATACCACATTGTATTGTTTTTTAAGTTTGAGCAGTTGAGAAAATTAGACCTACTCCAATTTTTAATGCTTTTTTTTCTTTTCAACATGAATCTTCATGCAAGATAGCGGTCCAATTTCAAAATGAGGATTGAGGAAAAAAATAAAATAAATGGTGCTACTATTTCGACACCCACATCATATGCAATTTTCTTTTTCACAAACATTCACACTATTAGGTCAAAAAATAGCATGGATGGTTGGGCAAACATTAAAAATTTTACCTTCATTTTAACTTAGGCTTATTAACATCCTCTAAAACAAATTAGCCCTTGAAACTTAAACTGTCACTAAAACACAACTCGTGTATCATTTTGCCTCCTACCGTCCAAATCCTTAAAACAATTTGTTCGTGGCAAAGATGGTGTCGGCCCTTTGCACAGCTCCTCTAGGGTAAATGGCACTTGCTGTGTTTGTTGGTTGGGCTCTTGCTGCTTGGTGTGCTGCAAGAGGAGTTCATAGTTAGTTTGAAAGGTGCCTTTGTAGGGTCTTAGGTGTAGGCCTTGAGACTTGCAATCAAAACTAACAAAGTGCTAGGCGTGACAATGTTATCTCATTATAACAGATGTAGAACATATTTAGTTTAAGTCGATTACTTGCGCCCCAAGTTACTCAAACTTCTTGTCATCAAAGGTTGTCACAGATGAGTTAAGTTTGCATTAAGTTCTTTTTCTTGCCTTGTAAACAAGGACTTTTAGTTCATGATCTTGTATTTTCGAATGAAGGGAGTCTAGAGCCCTTTAAACCATTTGCTTGATTCCAGGTTGTTCTTAATGAAAACAAGTTTATTAAGGTAACCAGATATGGATGCAAATGAGACTCTTAAGTAGAAAATAACTGGAAATAACTTGAATACATTCTAAAAAGTACATTTAGATGACAGATCTACTAAATTAAAGGATAAACAAAGAGATTCAGGCAATATTTCACCTTGTCTGGCAAGGTCGAACTTCTTACAGCCAATTCTTTTTAAGTTTACAAAGGTTGTACACTAAAAGGGATGGATGGTTTCAAGAGAAGTTCTAGATGAAAATGTATTTACTTTCTCCCTCAGCATTGATGTTAAAAATGCCATCCATCAATTACCTCATGCTACTGCTACTCCTCATATCATGATTCATATACAAGGAGATCAGCAGCACTCTACATTGGATTAAACCTTGAATCTCGGCAGAGAGTGTCCCCTAATATCAAAAGAGGTCCTTTTTCTTCTTGAATTTAGCTGCTAACATCATGGCTGAAATCCTTCCTGTAATTCCTTGGTCGTTTCTGGCCAAATTGTAATGAAACCTGGGGAAGTTGAGCCATTTAGGGTTGTCAATGAGAGAATTTAGGTAATCTTGGCGGGGGTTTTGGTATTTTGATTTTTGTATTAGGGTGATTTTTGCGATTTAGATGCCCCAAATGTAAAAACGAGGTGAAAAAAGCAAATAGCCTCTATTACATCACTGAAATTAACACTTCTCTTAACTTAGTTGACGGAATAGGATATAAAGTGAATAAAAAAGAAAAATACAAAAAGTAAAGTGAGATAAAATAAAGTATAGAAGGTAAAGTGAGATTTAGTAAAGAATAATACTTAAAAATAAGCTAAATAAAAAACTAATTAACGAGCAAAGGTTTTTTTAATTAAAATAATGTCACATCAAATCCAACATTGTTATCGTGGAAAAGAACATTATTATGAATATATTGAAGAAGAGGAAAAAAAATAAAGATACAATAAATTAGAGAGGACATTCTTTGACAAAAAAAAAAAAAAAATAGATAAGACATGAAGGTAAGTGCGTTTGTAGAAAATTATTAAAAATAAAAATCAATTAATACAACTCACAAACGAAAATTTGGAAGCCCGATTATAAGCAAAGGCCGCAATACTGCACAAAGTGGACAAGAATCTCACCAATGACTCCAACAAGATCAATACCATAGTTTGCCTAAGAATCCGCCACCTGAAACTTGAGATAAGACTAAAACCCTAAACTAACGAGCAAAGTTTGCGAAGCGTGAAACTTGCTTGACAAGAAAAAATAAAAGCGGCGTGAAACTTTAGAAATGGAAAACCTAGGGCAGTGGGGAAGAAAGACGGCATGGATGATCTGGCGAGACCATCGAATGATAAAGGGTCCTTATATATATGTTCCATGCCGTCAAACTGAGTAATTTGTTTTCATCAAAATGCATCTGCCACCGCAAGGATAATCCCGGCTTTAAATGCCGGAGCTCCTCCGAAGGTAATAGTCAATTATGCTATCTGGATTCTAAGGCCGGCGAGCTTCTTCCCATCCATATGGACTGTGGCATCTTCCGATATCAAATTATTTTTGCCGGTGTGAAACCCCACATCGCACCCACTTAAGACCAATAAATTTTCCGACTCAGACCAGATCCGGGTCATATTTATGGGTTTGAGACCAATCCAACTGTGGATCCGATTCGGACCACATGGTTGTAGTGATTGTTAAGAGTACGAATTCTACATCGGATAAACGAGGGATCTTACATGTGCTTATAAATAATTGGGCTAACTTCTTATATTGTCAATTGATTTTATGATGAAACATTAACTTTCTTCAATGATTGGATAGTATAAATTTGAACCTGTCGATCGAAGCGTAGATTTTGTTTTGTATTTTCCCCAATAATATCAGGAGTAGAATGACACTTGAATGAGTGCGGCTATGCGCGCCGCATGAGATAAAATTGCTTTCATTGCAGTTTAAGACATGGGCAACAAATCGACTATCGGTATTTATCGAATTGATATGTTTCTCAGTTTCTTGTTAAGAAGCTAAAGATCAAATCTGTGCTTCCTTTCTGCCACTGATGACTGTGTTACGTGTCAAGCATTCTTTCTCGTTTGTCGTCTAGAAATGGATTAGATTGGATTAGAAAACTCACAAGATTTATATGTATGTTGGATGAAAAAATGAATGTCAACTTTTAACTTTGTGAAGTTGAAGGTAAAAGATGACGTAGTCATAAAAGAAAACTCTCATCCCTTTCAATATCTACAAAACTGGCAAAAAATTGGAACGGATAAGCTTCATTTGTGACTAATCCATAAAAAAAATTAGAAGTTGCTTCTACTTCTTTCCTTCGACCTCACATTGCATCTACTTCTTTCGTCCAATCCAATCCAATTCAATCTTAGACACAAAACGAGACTCTCAGATATTGCATGTCAGCTAGGATAAAGAAAGAAAAGAAACTGAGCTGAGTTTTAAACCTACAGATCTAAAACATGCACCACGCTGATCTAAACACTCATCAGAATAACCACAAACAAGATCAAATATCCATAGCATTACAGTAAAACACACAAACTATATACGAGTCTTTGAACAGGCGGCAAAATTATGCACAATTCCACCAAAA